TAATTGATAAAAGTTCAACTTCAGCATACATACTGATCTTGTCTTAGTTTTTGATTAATTTTCAAACAGGTGAATTACATATAATATTAAAAAATCCAAACATACAAAAGTATACATGAAGGTGCTTCTACACCCCTGCATGTCTTCCATCTTCCAGATCTTTCCACCCGCTTCCATAACCACTGTTGTAGTTTCTTATGTATCTTTTCCTGAAAAATTTTGTGCATGTACATGCAGTTATGAATATAGACTCTTATTTTCCCATGTAGTCACAAAGGAGGACATTGTACAAATTATTTTGAACTTCCCTTTTTTCTAGTTAACAATCTTTCCTTGCAGTTGTTATACAAGAGCACTTAGAGTTTTCTCATTTTTTTGTTTTAAATAACAAGTTTATTGAGATTGAATAAAAACGCCAAATAACTCACCCTTTCTTTCCTTCTTTCTTTCTTTTTTTAATAAAGATTGATTTTTTAAATTTATTTGTGCATACAAGAACTGGAATGTAGGCCATAGGTGTTAAACGTTTTGGATTCACTAGAGACAGAGTGGGGAACAGAACAGGCAGATTACTGAAATATATTGTAGAGGGGAGCAGGGGGCAAGAATAGGAGAGGTCTGCTGTGCCATGTGGGTTAACTCCTTGGTCAGTGATCAAACTTGTGATCCTGTGGCTGCCAATAGCTTCACCCCTTGTACCGCAAGGGAGGCCCCACTTGATGTTTATTCTTTAACAGAAATTTTAGTGTCAATTTATGAAGCTCCCAAAAAAGATGAATGAGAATTTTGTATGACCATGTTGACTTTTAAGGTCATTTTGGGTTGAATCATTTGTGTGTCCTTTCTTTAGAGTTTTAATATTTTCATCCTAGATTTCCTTTGAATTCTTAACTAAGTTCATTTGTGAATGTTTTATAGTTTTTCTTTTAGTTATTCTTGTAAATGTTCTTAGTTTTTGATAACCTATTGTTGGCTAAGAGAAGTACTATTTATTTTTTAAAGTTGGTATTGTACCTAGCAACCTGGTTGAACTATTTTTAATTTGTTCTAATAGTTTGTTGTTTTGTGTTTTAATCTCTTTGTTGTCACAATATGTGCCTACTTTCCATTTTCATTCAGTTGTCATCTCTTTCCTACACCAGTCCCTAGGTCCCTACTTTCCCCCCACCCACTATATAAGTGATTTTTGAACAGCAATGGAATTTTCTGTTTTTCTTTAAAACTATCAAGCCGTTTTGGGTAGCTTTAGGTCTTTGTATGCTTTTTTTTTCCTCTTTTGCTTTAATGTCCATCCCTTTCTTTATTATCTGCTAAGATACCATCTTCTTTGTGAAATCTTTACTCCACTTTTTGCTGTTATCTTTGTGTCTCAAATATAAACAGTTCATATTCTCATGTTATTTGCCTGATTTCACTGTAATTGCATCCTATGGGCCAGACTCTTCTACTCCCTCTTTCATAGACTTATTCTATTGCATTGTTTTACATAATAGGAATTCAGTAATTTTAAAAATAAATGCATCATCTTTGTATATTGAAAATGATTGTTTTAATACTGACATAGTGAGAGTACATTCTTTATGAATATTTGGTGAATGATATCACTTGGGGTACAACATGATAAATAGATGAAACTTTTTAAAATGGAACTATGAAAGCACACAGGAGGGATCCTTGGTTCCAGCTTAATGTTGTAGTGAGTCAGTTTTCTTATGTGCTGTCGGCTTTCCCTATTTCCCAGCATCAATCCTTCCACTCTACATTCTTAGAGCTTTACAAAATCTGTGATGATTCAAGGATTAATATTTTTCCTGTTCTCCCACTGGCGATTTTGTTTGGCTCAATAAATTTTAAAGGAGAGTAATTCTCTGTTCTAAATATACACTTTTTCCTCAAGGTAGTTAGATCTAGTATTTATAAATAGTCATAGTTTTACGTTTAAATGAACTAAAATAATTTCCTTTGCAGCTGGGATGTGGAGTTAGATATTAAATTGAAATGATTGCAGTTGATTCTTTGTTACTGATGCAATGAATGAACACACTAGCAAACTTACTGGAGGTTGTCACCTCCCCAGATAGGCTCTACCTTTTAAGTTATGTATCTGTTTTACAAGATTTGGCTCTAAGACCTGACCCAATTGAAAAGTTAGGCCAGCTGACTAATAGTATGGTTTCCTGAACAGGCTTAGGCTGTAGGAATAAATGGTTATTGTAAAGCAAAATCTGTAGGTGTTGAGCACCTAAATTATCATTAACAAGTCATAATATGATATGAAACACCAGGTGTGTCTTTCATTCAAGAGAGGGCAAGTATAAGAATTGAATTTTATGTTATTATTATTTAAAGCAATCATTGTGGAGATTTTCATTAAAGAAAGTTGTTGTGTAATATACAGTACTTAAAAAAAATCTTTGACTGAGGTGATATTGTTTTAGAGGACTGTATCTAATTCAGAGACAGTGGATCACACCTTTTTAAATATAGGTCATCAGCCTCACCTACCAACAAGTCATCCATAGTCCTTCACCCCAGTCCATTGGGCCCCTCCACATATTGCTCTTCACCCTCCTCCACCCTCCTGGTATCCTCAGTTTTAGTGATAGATTTCAAGGGTTTGTTGTATGACCTCTGTTTTGTTTTTCTGTATCACATATGCAAGTGAGACCATTTGATACCTGTTTTTCTCTTTCTAAATCTTGTTTCACTTAGAATGATCCATTCTTGTTCCATCCATGTTGCAAATGACAAGATTTCATCTTTTTTTAAAATAGCTTTAAAAAAAAATCTTTTCATAAAAAATTGTGCATCTATACCACATCTTAATCTACTCATCTGTCCTTAGGCACTTGGGTTGTTTACCTAATGTGGCTTTTATATATAGTGCTACAATGAACATAACAGTGCATATATCCTTTCCATTGAGTGATTTTGCATTCTTTGGGCAGCTTCCTAGGAGTGGAATTGCTGGATCTTATGGACAGTGTTTCTAATATTAAAGTCATGAGAATACAGAGTAGAATTGAGAGTTATTATATAATAAGATCAATTGCATGGACTTTTGTGTTTTGTATATTTTGTTTTAAAGATATTCCTATCAACAATAATTCCTTAAAATATGTGGTGGAATTTAAGCTTGCCATGTTCTGGAATAAGTCATCTTTATTTAATGGGCATTCTTTTAAGTAGATATTAGGTACTTTGGGCTTATCATGAGTAATTAAGTTCTATAAATATTTTGATACTCTTTTGAAGCTTGTATTCTTTTCCTGTTCAGATTTTGGCTTTTATTATATAGCGTGCTACTGTATTTCATGGTAATCATGTTTAAATTTTTATGGTAACCAAAGATTTCTTGATGCCTTTTATTTCTGCTCAGCTGAAATTTTATTTCCTTTTTATTTGATCTAAGGTT